TCCTGAGCAAAAGGCTGTCTATTGAACAGATTTTAAATGTATAGTTGTTTGAGGAAGACTAACTTCTTTGATATATCAGCAGATACATAAAGTAACTAATGGCATTTAGTAGTTAATGGTGTAAGTATTGAGTAGGAAGTGGTTCTACTGAGTGTAACAAGAACTGAAGTTCGTCATCTGATAGACAGCTCAGCAGTGCCTATTAAACCTGAAGAAACAGATTTACCAAGATGGAAAAAACTATTGCAACAACATTGCTTTCTGAAAGCTCTAATACTCACAGGTTATCTCAAGTTTTACAACACAATGCTATCAATGTTTCTTTCTTTCTTTTTTTTTTTTAAAAAAAAAAAAACACAACCCACCAACCCACCTAGATATAGATACGGAATATCTATTGGCAAAATCAAACCAAGAAGTTTATTTGAATGATCAAAGTTTAAGGTTTTAGGACACCCAGCTGTCAATTGTATGTGGAAAACTGCTAAGTGGTTACAAAATGCAGCAATGGAGATTTGGGATGACCACATAAGAAACAAACGGCCTCTTTCTGATTTGGTAGAAGGAAAGCCAAGTATTTAAGTGAAAAGACACAGTATCCATTTTTGGAGTTCAGGTTTGGAAGGGTTTTTCAAAATGGAGAAGCCACTGACAACCCAGCAACTATGGGAGCACTTCAGGAGCTGATGGAGGCCTTGGAGTTGCCAAGGCAAATACTCCAGGGGAGCCTTTCATAGGGAAGTTCTGACCTGTAACAGGCTGTAGTTCCTAAAACTAGCGCATGTGGGGTGTTGTGGGTTTTTTTTTGTTTGTTTGGTTGGTTTTTGTTGTTGGTTGGTTGGGGTTTTGTTTTTTAAAAAAAGTTCTGTAATATCTAAAAGGAGTAACCAGAATGGAGTTTTTTGGGCACAGTCCTTTCCAGCAGAGGCACCTAGATGTACAGATGACAGCAAATGGTAACTCCAGCTTGATTACTATGTACAACTGAGGAAACATTTGTTTCTTACTACGCCCAAGGGATTCCTTCATATTATTTCTATCTCTATAGAAAGCAAAGAAAATTAATTTCAGAGGAAAGTTACACCATTCTATTTGTTTCATTTTTTTCCTAGAGTAAAGAATACAGAGAAGACAGAAGTATGTATGTCCCCTAAAAATTAGAGTAACTTTAAAAAAGAAGCATCCAAAAATTCTCCTTCAGTATGAAGGTTTTGGGAATCCCAAACTATGGAAGGGTGATTTGGAAATTGTGTTTCCTGCCACAAGTAAAGCAGCTTCTTAGGAAATTTTATTCAAAATCCAGAATCTGAAAAAAGTCCACAGGTATTCAATTCAGTTTCAAACTGGGAATCCAGTTTCATAACAACTGTGTTCTATGAGAAAGCAGCATCTTCCAGATTGATATGGGGTTCTTTAATTGTTGTAATGACTTCTCATTTAAATGTAGCATACTTACCGCATCCCGGTGACATTTTTATTCATTCAGGTATGTGACTATCCTTAGCTACATTTGCATTAAGATTTATCAGTTAAATTAGTTTGACATGTTCAGGTCATCCATTGAACATACAAGGAGGCAATGTCAGATTTCTGAGAAAAGCCCTATGTGGGAGATTAAATGATCAGAATAATTAAATTAGAGCTGGAGACTTTTAATGAGGCTCAGCGCTAAAACTGGAAGGGTGATAAGCAAGTACAATTAAGGATTTTGCCTTGAAGTGCATCACTGTCTCTGTATCTAGACTCCTCATGCGCATATATCCAGTGCAGGTCTCATTGGGTACATAGAGATGAGGAACAAAAATCCACATATAAAAATAACTTTGAACAGTTAATAGTAGTTACTAATTGACATGCATTAGTAGAATAAGCATGATTAGCAACTGAATTATGTAATTAATGGCAAAATACGCTCTATCATATTTCACAGGTTCTTAGAGTATTTCCTCTACAACCCATATGATTTCATCCTTCCTCAATTCAACACAATTTTTCTATAAAGGAAACCCCTGCATTTATGTTCTATCTTGACTTTTCATCCTTTGCAAAGCTCTTCACTCTGTCATGGAAAGTGCACAACTGTAACTAAGTGTTCCATACCCACTTAAACATTCTGGGAACCCTTCCAACTATTTATCTACAAATATAAATTATATTTACAGAAAGTGAATGTTACTTGTTAATTTATGGGGGTCTGGAATATATAGAGAGGCTGCTATATAAGAAAAGGGAGAGACAAAAATGATACCCTCAGTTTGTGGAAAAATTCAGTACTCAAAAATATTAAAGTGTGCTGGGTCTCTGGAGAACTTAGTTAAGAATGTATATTTGTGCATCTATATTGATAATACATACATACATATCTATATATATGTATGTAATGATGTATAAATAAAATGTAATTTTACAAAAAAAGATCTTTTGACCAGTCCATGACCACAACCATAATCAATTATAGGATTAGTAAAAGGTTCATTAAAAGGACAAAAATACAGATAACAAGATTGTTCTACACCGTAAAAATCCCACGACACTTTTTAAACATACAAAATATAATTTTAAAACAAAATATAATTAAGTACTAACTGATACTCTGATGAGGATCACGATTCTGTTTTTATGGTTTGGATTTTTTTGTAAGAATAAACATCCCACATAACAATAAAGCAACACACATCTCTTTATATAATTCTAGGTATTTACAATGTACCCATGGTTGGCCATGTAATGTCTCACATGGTGCAGTGCTAGCAGCATCGTTTGAGCACATATTTCACAATTACGTTGAACCAACACTGTTGCATCCATCACTGTGTATTCTAATACATTTACTGAGCACAGAGTCCATAAACATTTACGGAACAGTCTTGTTCAACGGAAGCCAAAACCAACAAAAAATATCCCATTTAATTTCAGTAGAAGCCAATGCTTTACTGTAGCAACAACACTGCAGCTGACAGGAACTGTTACTATCTCATAAATTTTGCCTTTAACTACAGCTTGTGTTGCAAAGGGACACATTCATTTGCAAAAATCAAACACAGTTTACTGAATGTCTGATCCACTGTAATATAAAATAAACCCACTAGAATAACTAACTTGTACATAGTTACTGTATACAGGAAAAGTTCTGGGTGGTGACAGAGGAAAGTTAATGAAAGGGTATTTATAAAGACCCGTACTTTCCTTTAATAAGCAATCATATGCTAATGCACCAAAAATTACAGGCACAATATGGTGTGTTACAAAATCAATCATGTGAATTTAGATAACATATTTTTAAATTACTACACTGCTAATCTTTTACTGAGGCAATTTTCCCCTCTGGAGACTGGGGATAAAAGAATATTAATTACTTGTAC